TAAATTAATACGCAATTTCTTAATCGGAGAATATAAATATGATGTAAAATTATGCGATTTAGTGCGATTTGGTTTAATCACACCAAATTATACAATTTCCGTGTCCCTGGTCCGTGCCTTAATCAACCCGTTGGAGTGGGTCTGAGGGTAAATTTTATTAGTAAAAACATAGTTTAACAAATAAATTTCCAATGAATAAAACACGTAATGAAAGTTTAATACGTCAAAAAGAAAAATTTCATTAGCAGAAGTTCGTTTAACCGACCAAGGGTATTTATCATTCCAATTAACAAGAGATAGAGACCCAGACATCCTTTTATTATCATAGAGTTGTGTTTATTGGTCGAATTTTTCATTGATTGATTAGAAAAAATAATTGTTCAAGTACTTCACTCTTTTTACATTATTATCGTTATCATTATGGATCTTCAAAATCATTATCAATGTCGACGAATTATTTATTACCTTATTACTTATGCTAAAAATATTTGCCGCAAATAAAAAGGCACGCTTTTGTGTTCTGTTGGTTCATAGTAAGTTCTGAAAAAGAAGTAACAGAATTTGGAAGTGTCGTAGATTCTTTATCCTTTCGTTGATATATCGTTTTTATTAATTTATTTTTATTTTTATTTTTTTATAATTTCTAAATGGTAGTAATGATAAAGACGTTTGTTCAAGCATCAATTGCAATCAATATTTTAATTAATCATAATACAGTAATACTTGAACATCAACACGATCATAAATTAATCCATTGTGGAAGATACATGAACATATTTTAATCATATCATCATCCATATTATCGGTTCTCAAAACGGTCTAATTAATAACGCCATAATGGTTGAGCACTATTTCAATCAATAACTAATTACATCGAGCGTGCTTGAGAACACCCTTGATTTATTTCAATGATCTTAAAAATATTTAAATTCTTGATAAAGGAGGTTTTAGTATGATATTTACAGCGACCTGGGAAACTGGTTCCATAACTAAATGGGAAACTTTTATGATTATATATAGTAAGAATGAAATTATAAAATCGCTTTAAAATTTATGGACAAAAAATTTTTCACGGAATTTATAAGTAAATTATTTGACCATAATCCGAATTTAACATCCATGTGTGATTAGCAAGTGATTAGCAAGTGATTTACAAAAAATTTGAATATGCAATTTATGATAATTTATGATATAATTGAAATCTTCACAAGCATCAGTAATCATACTAGTGCATATTTATTAATAATCATTGAAGTTAATATTTGAGCAGTCTCCTATTGATTTCTATTATTTGTCAAATGTCATTGTTAAAAATTAAAAAAAAGCGCTATTCAGAAGAAAGTAACAGATATTACTGATTATCGAAATTCTAGTGAAGCACAACCTCGGTAGTTTCTAGTACTCCATTCGCTAATTTCACCAACTATAATGACAGAGAGCGAAAGCCAAGAGATGGTAAACTGACAAAACCTGCAAGATAGCTATGAGATGCCATGTAAAAAAATTAAAGGCACTCGCAAGTTCTTCAACAAGTCATCAAAATAATCAAGCATACCTACAAAACTTTTTCACAGCTTGAAGATGTGTTCGATATAAATATCGAACAAATTAATGAAATACCATTAATTAGCATTGGTAAGTAATATATAAATAACTATCTTTATTTATATTACTCTTGTTTTATTTATAGTATTATTTTTATAGGATTAAAGGAAAGCTTAGAAGCTTTTGAAGAAGATATTAAGGATACAGTTAAATTATTAAAAGTAAGATATAAGAACTTATAAGGTTACATATATAATAAAAATAAAAAAATAAATACTAATTTGACTTTTTTTTTCAAAAGAAAAAAATGCGAGCATTTGGATTGTTCTAATGAATCCACGAAAGCCAAATATATTTCACAGATTCTGGTTGGAGTAGTAGATACATTTAGTAAGGCGGATAAAATTTCATTACACAAAGAATATTCCTTGTCTGGTGTTAATGGTAAAGGTCGACTCGACTAGTGTTGGCGGTAGAATTAATTGGTCATTCCGATGTGATCAGGTAATGAAAGCCAAGATACAGAATTCCCAAATGATGTAGAATTTCCGAATAATGAAAATCAATATGTAGAATTTCATATTAATGAAAATCAAAATATAGAATTTCAAACTGAATCCGAATTTCAGAGTAATGAAAAACAAAATATAGAATTTCAAACTGAAAAGAATTTAGAGCAAGTGATCGCAATGACACTCAAGCAAAATTATATTTACATAAAATTTTTATTGAGAATTCGAATATATAATTTATGATGTAATTGAAATTTTCTCAAGCATCATCTTCTGATGTAATTAATTAGTGATCGTAATGGTGCTCATTTAATAGAATCAATTGAAATAAACATTGCAATCGATGTTTGAG